CGGCCAGGCCCTCGCACTGACGGGGAGGGGGCGGAAGGTCCGGCTGCTCACTCAGAGCCCGTTCCCGCAGACGGAGCGCGTGCGGCAGTGGGAGGCCCGCCAGCTGCAGAGCATTGAGGAGGCCACGCAGCACGACCTCACAGTGCAGGACGAGTGACCGCCCGCCCGGCGCCTGCGCCCACCTGTCCGCAATCCCGCCCCGTCTGTCCACGGTCCCCGCCTGTCCGCAATCCCGCCCCGTCTGTCCACGGTCCCGCCTGCCACAATCCCCGCCCCGTCTGTCCACGGTCCCCGTCTGCCACAATCCCGCCCCGTCTGTCCGCCTCCCCCCGTCTGTCGGCAATCCCCGCCCCGTCTGTCCGCCTCCCCCCGTCTGTCGGCAATCCCCGCCCCGTCTGTCCGCCGTCCTTCTGTCTGTCCGCCCTACACCTGCCCTGCACCTGCGGCATAAGCCCACGCCCTCTCAGCACTCCACGCCCCACATTGTGCCCCAGGGGGGCTGTTGATAAAGGTCTTGTCACTCAGACCCCTGTGCTCCTGGGGGCCATCTTGGAGGGGGGGCGGTGGGCACGCGGCCACGTGTGGCAGGTGACCAGGAGCTCAGGGCGCAGCTCCACCTGGGGCTTCAGGAGCCTGTGGGCGCGGGCATTGCTGATCCTCCCGCGTAGGGAGGAGAGACGGCCCCCCAAGCTTCAGTCAGACAGAAACCCGGCCTCAAACCCCAACATGAGGCACCCCAAGACAGGTCACCTCGACACTGGGGACCCCGACATGAGGCACCAACACGAGGCACCCTGCAACAGAGCCACAAGGGTTTCTGGGAGGAGGGCGCGGGTAAACCTGGTCTCCTGGGGGCGCCACAGCCCCTTGGAGGCTCCCAAGGGAGGGGGTCACTCCCACCGCCACAGCGAGGTCCCGTGTGTGTGTGTGTGTGTGTGTGTGTGTACACACACGTGTGGTGTGCATGCATTTCCTGGGCAGTGTGTGTGTACATTTTCTGAGCGCATTCCTTCTCCATAAGCCGACTTTTCAACTTGCTCACTTTTTCCTTTGTCACCACAATTACCAGATTGTAACAGAGCTGCTCAATGGTTAGATCGTCGACCTGCAGACCAGAGGGTCCTGGGCTTGCTTCCTGGCCGGAGCACAGGCCTCAGCTGCAGGCTGAATCCCAGCCCTGGTCAGGGTGCCCGTGGGAGCAGCCAACCGACGTGTGTCTGTTGCTCTTCCTCCCCCTCCACGCTCCCTAAAAATCACCCTCACCCCTTAGGGGAGGTTAAAGGGGAAATTTAAAAAGGATAATATTTCAAATGGAAGTGGCAAGAAGCAGGGACTGCCTATAGTTACCTGAGTTGGAGGTGGCTGCTTTGGGCCTGGTTCGGGGGTTGAGTGCTGAGCTATGAACCAGGTGGTCACAGTTCCATTCCCGGTCGGGGCCCAGGCCCAGGCCCAGGTGCAGGCTCAATCCCAGTGTGGGGCGCGCAGGAGGCAACCCATCAAGGATTCTCATCACTGATGTCTCCCTCCCTTCCTTTCTCTGAAATCAATTTCTAAAAATATTTTTAAATACTTTGGTGTCTTTCCATCATCGATAAAAATAAAGTGTTGCCCTGACTGGTTTTGCTCAGTGGACAGAGCGTTGGCCTGCAGACTGAAGGATCCCAGGTTCGATGCCGGTCAAGGGCATGTACCTTAGTTGCGGGCACATCCCTAGTAGGGGGTGTGCAGGAGGCAGCTGACTGATGTTTCTCTCTCTGGACGTTTCTAACTCTATCCCCCTTCATTCCTCTCTGTAAAAAATCAATAAAACATATTTTAAAAATGAAGTGTTCTCTGGGAACTATTGCCACAGCCTCTGCAATGCACGGTCACGTGACCTCTGCCCCTACCTCGTTGCCATACTCGGAGAAGCCCAGACAGCTGATGCCTCGACCGCGGCCCCAGGGCCCCAGGGCCCAGCCTGTCCACTCCGCCTTCCCCCAGCTGCCAGCTGGGACCCCGTGGGCCCTGCACGCACCCGTCGCCCCTGCTCCGACTTCTGGGCTAGGACAGGCGCGAGCTGTGCCCCAGGCTCCGTGGCCGGGCCAACCCCACCTCACCCCGGTGGTCAGGGTCCCTCTGGGCCGGACTTCGGCCTGCGAGTCCAGTGCCAGCCCACACCGCCCTCACCACCGGGTCCGTTCATCCCCCACTGCAACCGCCCAGCTTGGCCGTCCGGCCACGTTCCCCGAGGCCACAGCCTCTCGTCCACAGCGCCACGTGGGCTTTGTCATCACGGGGACAGGAGGTCCCGGTCCGCCTGCGGGTGGGCAGAGGGTCCTGACCGCGGGCACGGTTTCCCATGGACGTGGACACAGGTTTAGTCAAGCAAGGTCTTCCTTTACTTTCGTTAAACAAGGTCCGGAAGGAGGGATAGTGCAAACACTCGGTAGAAAAGTTGCGATTAAGAAACGTACATTCACATGGAACATGTCAGCCTGTTCACTGGTTTTCCAAATAAAAACAGGACAGAGTGCCGACGCCTGGTCTCGGGGCAGTCTGGAGGAGACTGGCCGCTCGTGTGCAGGGGACGTAAAAATAGACCCGTGTTGATCGTACAGACCCACTGAGAAGGCCGCGTCACCGCCGTGCCCACTCGGTCCTGTGGGGGACGGCCCGGGTGGGCGGGGCTGTCCCTAAGCGAGGGCCCGTGCTGAGGTCACACTCGCATCTTGGCATGTGCGCGGTGTGCATCCGTGTGCTGGGGGCGGTGTGTGCGGGCCCCGCTCAGGCTCGGACCGCCCTGCGGGGACTCCCTGGGGGAAGCCCTGGGGGACGCTGCGGCCAGCCAGCAGGTGGCCCAGGGCGGTGCCCTCGCTGTGCATGCTGGGTGATTCCAAACCAAACTAAATCACACACACGGGGACTTCACGCATGCGACCGCGTGCGATGGCTTGGGTGCCACGGGGAGGAAGGCAGCACCGCTCCTCCCTGCGTGCGGGACGGCGCAGGGAGCGAGGCTCCCGCTGGGGGGGGGGACTCCCTCGGTTCCTGGCCGGACGGGGCTGGTCCCCTGAGACTGTGCTTCGTGCAGGGGCTGCTGGTGGAGGAGACGTTCGGTGCCGGCGCCCGGCGCCCGGCGCCCGGTATGCCGGGGCTGTCCCACACGCCAGACACACGGGCATTCAGCCCGAGGCTGACTCTGTCCTCTGAGCGCCTCACCCGCCAGCAGGTGACGAGGACACTGGGTGGCTCTGGCCGGGAGCTGGGTGGAGTCCAGGCCCCGGGAGAGGTGTGTGGTGTGAGGGCGTCTGGGACCCCTCCGGGGGTGACGGGCTATGAGGGGTGCAGCGCTGGCTGGTGAGGGACGGGACCGGCAGGGCCCTCCGTCTGACCTTTCTGTCCTGAGAGGTCAGCCCTGAAGGAGTCGGGGCCCGGCCAAAAGGGCACAGGGCCGGGGAGACGGCCCGGTGGGCGGGGCCCGGTGCAGCACAAACGCCCCCGGCCGGCACTGCGGCACTTGTTTGCCGAAGAGCTCGCAGCGCCCGAGGGGCCGCCTGGGTTGGGCCTCTCGGCCTGACACCCTCAGAGGGAAAGCCGGGTCGGTGGGAGCCCCTGGGTTGCCCCCCCCACACCCAGTGCCAGGAGACACCCCAGAGGAGCTGCCAGAGGGAGGGGCTGCCGGCAGGGCCGGGCGGGCGTCGGCCCACGGTGCCCAGTCCGGGAGCCCAGCGCGACTGCGTTGGGTAGTTATTGCTTCGGAGACGGCGTCGGGCGCCCAGGGCTTGGAGGCTGACGGTCACGCGGGGCCGAGCCCGTCTGGGGGCGGGCACGCGGGGGGACGCCGGGGAAGGCTGTGTGCCCCCCGAGGGCGCAGGCATGCGAGGGCCATGCAGGGCACACGGGGCACGTGGGGACGGGGTCATGCTACAGGGCGGGGTCGCCAGGCAGGGAGCCGCGGTGGAAGCGGAGCGTCGGGCTCGCCTTTGCGTGGGGGACGCGGCCCGGCTCCCGGCGCCGTTAGAGCTTAGCGTCCCCCGAGGCCCGGCGTCTGTGCGTGAGACTGTACAGTCCGAACAGATAAGGCAACAGCACGTGACACACAAAGGACGGACGCCCCCTCCCCGGCCCAGAGGGGACGTGTCCCCGCTTCGCACGTGGCTCTGGGGACCTGTGCCCTCAGGGACAGGGTGTCCGAGGGGCTGTCCGCTGGCCCGAATGCAGCCCTTGGTTGTGGGGTGCCGACCGCTTCATGGGGGCGCAGGGGGGTCTCACCTCCCGGGCTTCGGCTGTTCATTCCTGGCAGCGTGCGCACCCGTGACCCTCTGCGAGGCGCTGTGTGTGCCGGCCTGTTCCCACGGCCGCCCGTCCATCGGTCCCGCCGGCCACAGCGGGACCCAGGAGGGAGGCCCTCACGCTCACCGCCGAGCCGGCCCGGCCCGGCCACGGGGCTTCCCGGCGAGAGCAGCCTCACTGCCCCCCGGGAAGCGGACGCTCAGACCGCGGCCAGGCCCCCGGCCGCAGGGGAGCCGCCCGCAGGACGTGGCAGCAGGCCCAGGCCCGGCTCTCACCAATAGCCACGCTCAAGGAAGCAGCCACCGCCCCTCGGCCGGTCGTGGGGCGGCCCCTCAGTTCTCAAACGTCTGTCCAAGGCCCTCACTCAGGGCCTGTGGGAACGCCAGAGCCACTGGCTCCTCCAGCCCACGCCAACCAGTCAGCCACCTGCCCGCCTGCCTGCTGCCGGCAGTCCCAAAGGTCTGAACACTCAGCCGCCCGGCCGCCCGGCACAGGTCACAGCCGCCGGCACAGGTCACAGCCGCCGGCACAGGTCACAGCTGCCATGTGCCTCGGTCTGTGCGAGCGGGTTCGCCCCAGTCACTGCCCAGCTGCTCTGTCCGGCCTGGACGGCGCCCCTTCCCGGCCCAGCAATGGCCCAGCCCTGCTCTGCCGGCCGGGCTGCTCCTGCCGGAGTGACCGAGTGACCAAGTGACCGAGGCCTGGAGCCCTCTGCCCGGTCCCCGCTAAGCCTCCTTCCCGGCCGCTCCGGGGGGCAGGTGTGGGCCAGGGGGGCGGGGGGCGAACCCCAAGCCCTGCGGAGCCCCCCACCCGGCTCCGACCACGGGTGCTGGGGGGCGGCCCGCGGCCAGGCCGGTCTGGTGGCCGGCTCGCCTGTAGGGACACATTTTCCGCTCCGAGTTCAGGGTCCTGGTTTGCAAGTTTCCGTCCGCCCGGCCTTCCAGGAAGTACGTCAGCATCTCGCCCTTGCCCTTGACGCTGACCTTGCCCCGGCACAGGAAGTGGTAGCCGCCCGGCCGCAGCAGCCGCTGCACCTCCTCCGTGACCTGCAGGAGGGGTGGTGACCTCAGGCGCCCAGGACTCTGCCCCGCCCCCACGGCCACCGGCTACTCCTGGGCGGGCAGAGGGCGGCGGGGGGGAGGGGGGGGGCGGGCACGGGGGCGAGCGGGGACAGAGCACGCCCGGCGCCCGGCGGGGGCTCTCTGACTGGGCGTCTGGGACTCGGGTCAGAGGTCAGCAGGAGCCAGCTCAGCGGAGGGGGAGGCAGAGCCGGCCCTGCCTCCTGCCTCCTGCCTCCTGCCTCCTGGCCTCCCAGCCTCCGGGCCTCCTGACCCCTGGCCTCCTGACCTCCTGACCCCTGGCCTCCTGACTTCCTGCCTCCTGATCTCCTAACCTCCTGGCCTCCTGACCCCTGGCCTGACCTCCTGACTCCTGGCCTCCTGACCTCCTGACCCCTGGCCTCCTGGCCTCCTGAACCCCCGGCCGGCAGGAGGGAGGTGTCGGGAGCCGGTTGGGGACTGACCTGGATCCTGCCCGGGACGCCCGTGCTGTCCATCCTGCTGGCCACGTTGACCGTGTTGCCCCAGATGTCGTACTGCGGGCGGCGCGCCCCGATCACACCGGCCACCACAGGCCCCACGTTGATGCCTGCAAGGCAGCGGCCACGGCTCACGGGGGCTCAGGGGCTGGCGGGAGCTTCCCAGGACGGCCCCGCCCCTTCCTGTGGCAGTTCCTGGCACAGCCCCTTCCTAAGGCCGAACCCACCCTCACGGTGCCGCACCGGCCGGACCCCGCTCACGAGGCAGTCGCGCCCGGGGGTCCCCGGGCCCCGGAGCTCCTGGCCCGGCTCAGTGGACGGAGCCCGATTCCTGTCAGAGGCACAGCCCCAGGTGGCGGGCTCCATCCCCAGTGGGGGGCGTGTGGGAGGCAGCCGATCCATGATGCTCTCTCATCATTGGTGTTCCTCTCCCTCTCCCTCTCCCTTCCTCTCTGAAACCAATAAAAACATATAAAGAAGAAAGAACAGAACAGGCTCCACCTGGGACCCACGGCTGTTCACCCCGCCTGGGGGCTCCTCCGCTCCGGGGCCCCGGGGAGGCCGCCCCAGCGCAGGGCGGCGGGGCACCTACCCACGCGCAGCACAAACTCGTTGTAGGACTGGTAGTTGATCTCGTCCAGGACGTGGAACATCTCGAGGGCGAAGTCGGCCAGCGTGCCCAGGTGGGAGGTGACGCTCCGCTTAGCCTGCAGGGGGCGGACACGGCGTGTTGGGGGGACGAGGTGGAGGGCAGGGGCGCCGCAGGCCAGCTGCCGGGCGGGGACCACATCCACAGGCAGCCCTCTCCGGGCGTCCGTGGCCCTGGGACGGCTCATCTTCATCGGGTTCCAGCACTCAGCCCCTGGGAGGGCCAGCACCCCGCACCCCGCCGAACAGGCAGGGGCTGAGATGGAGGCGCAGCGGTCAGTGTCCACCTCCGCCGGGCCAGGCTCCCGTTTCCCCCGGTCAGGGTCTCCACTAAGGGAACGCCCTCCTTGTCCCCGGACCCTCTCTCCGTCAGGGATTTCTGTCCGAAGTTATTTTATTACCTCCCTCCATTTTTAATGTATCTGTGTCCTCGATAGTTTTTCCACGTGTTTCTGGTGGAAAACCTAGCTGGGTCTTTTGGATCGGCCACTCTGTCAGCCTGTCGTTCACTCGGTGTGTTTACCACCCACACTTAAAGGGATTACTGGGCCCTGGCCGGTGTGGCTCAGTGGATAGAGCGTTGGCCCACAGACAGAAGGGTCCTGGGTTCGATTCTGGTCAAGGGCACCTAGGTTGGAAATACATCAATGTATTTCTCTCACATCAATGATTCTCTCCCTCTCTCTTCCACTCTCTCTAAAATTCAATGGGAAAATACCCTCGGGGAAGATTAACAAAAAATAGACAAATGAAGGGGTTACTGGTGTAGGTGGACTAGCGTCTGCCACACCCATGTCTGTTTTCCACTTGCTGAGTCTTTTCTTATTTCCTCCTCTTTTTCTGCCTTTTTTGGGGGATCAGGGGGCAGCCTGTGGGCTCACCCTCAGCTCCGAGCGGGGGGAAAGGACAGGGGACGGCCCTGGGCCGGGGCTGAGTCTGGAGGGGGCCCGTCACCGACGGCCACGGGCTCGGCCCGGTCCGGTGGGTGTGGAGAGCAGACCGAGGCCGGCGTGGGGAGCCGAGGGGCCCAGGGCAGCAGTGGGGGGCTCCCGGACGCACCCACCTTGGCCCCGGCCGTGGGCGCCAGCCCCCCGGCGGCCATGTAGGTGCTGCCGATGGTCTTGATCTTCTCCAGGTCCTGGTGCACGTCCTTGTCCAGGAGCTTTGTAGGAACACACGTTACCGTCACCTCACGCGTGGACACGTCAGCGCGCCCACAGTCACCAGGGCCGCTGCTGAGGTAGCGGGTCTGGGGCACCGGGCACCGGGACGAGATCCGCCCCCACGGCCACAGCCGCCCCCACGGCCACAGCCGCCCCCGAGGCCACAGCCGCCCCCGAGGCCACAGCCGCCCCCGCGGCCACAGCCGCCCCCGCGGCCACAGCCACTCCTGCAGGCCACAGCCACCCCCACGGCCACAGCCGCCCCCACGGTCACAGCCGCCCCCGCGGCCACAGCCGCCCCCTTGGGCCACAGCCACCTCCACGGCCACAGCCGCCCCCGCGGCCACAGCCGCCCCCTTGGGCCACAGCCGCCCCCACGGCCACAGCCGCCCCCACGGCCACAGCCGCCCCCGAGGCCACAGCCGCCCCCGCGGCCACAGCCGCCCCCGCGGCCACAGCCACTCCTGCAGGCCACAGCCGCCCCCACGGCCACAGCCGCCCCCGCAGCCACAGCACAGCGCCCTGGAGGGAGGTGCGGGCCGGAATGTGCCTCAGCTCAGCCTCTGGGCAGGCAGGGCCACTGGGGTGGGGCGAGGGGCCAGGACTGCAGGCCGGGGGCAACTGGCAGATGAGGCCCAGCTTGAGCCAGGCGCTTACCAGGCACGGACAGACAGACAGACAGACAGACCAGGCACCGGCCTCCCTCCCACAGAGCAGATCCTTCGGGGACACCTCCCGCCGGGAACGGCATTCACGCCCTCGCCCCGGCGGCTCACCTTGTCGAAGTCGGCGATGATCTCATTGAGCAGCCGCAGGCACTCCACGCCCATGTTGTTGCCGTCCAGCTCGATGTAGAAGTCGTTGAAGTTGGGGATGGAGGCGAACATGACGCCCACCTGGGCGTACGACTGGTAGTACAGGTCCTGGGGGCAGGGCGGGTCAGCAGGGCGAGGGGGGCCACAGGACGGAGGGGGGCCTGGGCCCGGGCTGGGCTGACAGCCGGCTCCAGAGCGGCCTCCGCTCGGCTCCACCCCATGGGCTCCCGCAGCCACAGGAAGCCGTGACGGCCCCGTGTCACCGGTCCGGAGGCCCCGTCCCCCCCACGGACACACGGCCCCGTGTCACCACCCAGAGGCCCCGTCCCCCCCACGGACACACGGCCCCGTGTCACCGCCCAGAGGCCCCGTCCCTCCCACGGGCACACGGCCCTGTGCTCCTCCCAGAACCAAAGGGGCCCTTCCGGGCACCTGTCCCCCCCAGGAGCCTCCTGGTGGCCAAGACCATCCCTGCCCTTGGGCGGGCAGAGGGGACCCCGAACGTGGCGAGACTCTGAGAGGACAGGAAGTGGGGGCCATTGGGTGGGGGCCCAGCCTCGGCCTCAGGGCTCAGTCAGGGCTGGGGGCTCAGTCAGGGCTCAGGGTTTGGGGTTCGGGGTTCGGGGCTCGGGGCTCAGGGCTCAGGCTTGGGGCTCAGTCAGGGCTCAGTCAGGGCTCAGGGTTTGGGGTTCGGGGCTCGGGGCTCAGGGCTCAGGCTTGGGGCTCAGGGCTCAGGCTTGGGGCTCAGTCAGGGCTCAGGGCTCAGGGTTTGGGGTTCGGGGTTCGGGGCTCGGGGCTAAGGCTTGGGGCTCAGTCAGGGCTCAGGGTTTGGGGTTCGGGGCTCGGGGCTCGGGGCTCAGTCAGGGCTCAGTCAGGGCTCAGGGCTCAGGGTTTGGGGTTCAGGGCTCGGGGCTCAGGGCTCAGGCTTGGGGCTCAGTCAGGGCTCAGGGCTCAGGGTTTGGGGTTCAGGGCTCGGGCAGGGCAGGGCGGGCGCTCACCATGTTGCGGGGGTTGGACAGCAGGAAGTGCTGGGCCACGTGGGCCGGCAGCAGGTTGAAGAGGATCCTCCTGTTGTCCAGCTTCACCCGCTCCATGTCGTCCCGCTCCTCCTCCGCCTGTGGGGTGTCCGGCCTCAGCGCCCACGCTGGCTCCCCCCTCTTCCCGCGGCCTGCCCCCCCCAGGGCGTCCGGCTCCCCCTCTTCCCGCGGCCTGCCCGCCCCCCCCCGCCATGGTGTCAGGCCGGGTGTGTCCCCACAGGAGCCCAGCCCCCTGGAGTCTCCTCTTTTGAGGCTCCCTCTGCCCGGCCACCTGGCCTGGGCTGAGCCCTTCTCTCCACGGTGGCCCCAGTCACATCCACGCTGACACCACTCGCCTCGCCGTGACGAGCCCGTCACTGAGGCCCGAACACGCTCCTCCCGTCCCCCAGGCCCCGGCCGCCCAGGCTTCATAGGGAGCCGCCCTGACCGGCCGAGCGTCACAGGACAGACCGGGAAGAGGCAGCCCGGTGCCCACAGAATCCGTCCACGGCACAAGCCCCTCAGGGCACACAGACAGCCCCCAGGCCGGCGGTGCTGCGCCCCCACACCCGTTTCTCGGGAACCTCGCCGCCTCTCCCCAGGCCATGAGGCAGCCAAGGCCGCAGGACGGACGGGGCGAACCGGGCGCCAGCACCGCCGAGGGCCTGGAGAGGTCAGCCAGGGCGCGGCCGAGCCCCAGCCGGTGCCCTGAGCTCCGCGGCCTCCCTCGGCCATGCGCCTGGCTTCCCGCCCGCAGAGCCCCCCAGGCAAGCAGCTCCACGTCCTCGGGGCACATCCATGTGCAGGTCCTCGGGACACGTGCCGTGAATGTGGGCCCGGGCCTGTGCTCCGGGGCTGTGGCTGGAGGCACCTGCCAGGCAATGGCCCCGCTTCCTCTGCCCACCCCCTTCCGTCCCTAGGACAACACAAGTTTCCAAAGCCAGGCCTGCACATCGGGGGGCTGTGCACGTGCCGCCTGGGGACCAGGCTCGGCCCCTCCATAGCGGCCCCTCCGTGGCGTCCCCTTCGTGGCATCCCCTCCGTGGCGTCTCCTCCGTGGTGGTCCCTCCGTGGTGTCCCCTCCATAGCGGTCCCTCCGTGGTGTCCCCTCCGTGGCGTCCCCTCCGTGGCATCTCCTCCGTGGCGTCCCCTCCGTGGCGTCTCCTCCGTGGTGGTCCCTCCGTGGTGTCCCCTCCATAGCGGTCCCTCCGTGGTATCCCCTCCGTGGCGTCCCCTCCGTGGCAGTCCCTCTGTGGAATCCCTCCGTGGCATCTCCTCCGTGGTGGTCCCTCCGTGGCGTCTCTGTGGTGGTCCCTCCGTGGCGTCCCCTCCGTGGCGGTCCCTCCGTGGCGTCTCCTCCATGGTGGTCCCTCCGTGGCGTCTCCTCCGTGGCGGTCCCTCCGTGGCGTCTCCTCCGTGGTGGTCCCCTCCATGGCGGCTTCAGAGCAGTCAGTGGCACGTGGCCACAGTGCATGAAGTGCCTCTGCAGCTGAAACCAAAACGGGCCATTCCCCAAGGAGGCCTCCGGCTCAGGCACGGCGAGGCTGGGTGAGGGCCCACGGCCCCCGCCGGCCAGGTGGTTTCTGGGAAAACAGCGTGTGGGGTCCCAGGAGCCGGGAGTTGTCAGCAGCTGAGAACACCGTCTCCTGCTCCGCCACACAGGTGCCGGCTGCGGCGAGGAGGAGCCAGAGCGGAGATCCAGCTCAGCAGCACCCTGCGGGGCGGGCCTCCCCGTGGAGAGAGGAACCAGGCGGGGAGCCGTCCTGACACGGGAATAACCAACCACCTGTCCACATGTGGGCGAGACACAGGGGACCGCGGAGGAGCTGGAGAGGGAGGAAGGACGCTTTTTAAATAACACTTTGTGTATTTGTTTTTTTAAAACCTTTAAAAAATATATTTTATTTATTTTTTTTACAGAGAGGAAGGAAGAGGGATAGAGAGCTAGAAACATCGATAAGAGAGAATCATCGACCAGCCGCCTCCTGCACACCCCCCACCGGGGATGTGCCCGCAAGCAAGGTCCATGCCCTTGACCGGAATCACACTTGGGACCCTTCAGTCCGCAGGCCGACGCTCCATCCACTGGGCCACACCGGTTTCGGCACTTTGTGCATTATTGATTAGTGGCACAGCGGCTGCTCCAGAAGACAGCTCTGAACCCCGACAGTAGTTAGCGGAGCGGCCGCCAAAGGCGCATGAAGGTCTCCCAATCTCGCATCCTCGTGTGATGGCGGCTGGCCCGCGTCTGTCTGTTTCTCCTCATTTCCGGGCGATCGGATCGCTGTCGTCCGGCACCACCTCCCTCCTAACGACCGTGCCTGCGGGCCTCGCCCCATGCGGGCCTCGCTCCCGAGGCGTGGCGTCCGACGCCATGACGAGGAGCAGGCGCCGCCCTGCGCGGCCTCGGCCAGGGTTCCGACCACTCCGTCCACACCACCGAACCCGGGCACCCGGGCGAGGAGGCGAGGAGGCGGCTGCGCCGGGGAGGCCGTGCTGCGGTCGCTGCCGGGAGGAGGCGGTGGAGAAGCACCCGGCTCCCTCCGGGGCCTCGGCTCCAGCTCGGGGCAGAGAAGGTAGAGGCTTTGTTTCCATCGGAGCTGGCGCGGCTCGGCGCTCCGTGAGTGCGAGAGGAAGTGCACGGCGCGAGCGAGCATGCGTTCAAGCCCGGCGAGGAGAGCCGGGCCGCGTGGCCCGCACCGCTGGGCGCTGGGTGTCCGCAGCTCCCTGCCTGGCCCCGGCGGAGTGTCCTCGCTCGCTCGCTGGAAGGGAGGGTGCTCTCCCGCCATCCTCGGAACAAGCGTCATCCCTGGGAGCCCTGGCCACGAGGGGCCCGTGGCCGGAACCCCCGGGGAGCCCGCCTCTGGGGGCGTCACTGCTGGGACCCAAGACGGAGGCCAACGCCTGTGTAACAGCATTTAAAGGGGCACCGCCCCGGCAAAAGCCCTCGCAGCCCAGACGACAGGACCCCAGCCCCGCTCTGCAAGGCTGGCACAGCCAGCGCCCGGCCCCCATGCCGGCCGGCAGGTCCCCCGCCTCACCCCACCGGCTCCTCTCACCCCACCGGCTCCTCTCCCCCCACCGGCTCCTCTCCCCCCACCGGCTCCTCTCCCCGCACCGGCTCCTCTCCCCCCACCGGCTCCTCTCCCCCCACCGGCTCCTCTCACCCCAACGGCTCCTCTCACCCCACCGGCTCCTCTCCCCGCACCGGCTCCTCTCCCCCCACCGGCTCCTCTCACCCCACCGGCTCCTCTCACCCCAACGGCTCCTCTCCCCCCACCGGCTCCTCTCCCCGCACCGGCTCCTCTCCCCCCACCGGCTCCTCTCCCCCCACCGGCTCCTCTCACCCCAACGGCTCCTCTCACCCCACCGGCTCCTCTCCCCCCACCGGCTCCTCTCACCCCACCGGCTCCTCTCCCCCCACCGGCTCTTCTCACCCCGACCGGTTCTTCTCGCTGCCAGCAGCTCTCAGGACCCAGAGGGGTGGGGGGCAGAGTGATGCATCGCGGGGGGCCAGCAGCTGGGTCCCCCGGAGAGCGGCCAGGCCCACTGGGCCACGCAGGCCGCACGCCCACCGGAGGCCGCGCCCTCACCCGGGGGTTTCGAACCGCCGCGGCAGGTGTGCTGGCGCCTGCTCCCACGAGGGCCCACCACTGGTCCCCTGGCCGCCGCTTCCTGCCGGCACAGCCGGTGGGAGTGGGGAGGGGGGAGCCAGGGGGTCCCCCTGACATGGCCACCGAGGGCCAGCCGGTCCTGTGGCCGAGGCTGTGAATTCCGATGGTGGCTGCCCTGTCCCGGGTCCTGGGATCGGCCCCCGGCTCCCCGTCTGCCGTGGGAACGGGCGGTGCCATCCCCACAGCCCCCCCGGGCACCCCTGCCACACGCCCCGCCCTGCCTGCCTGCCCAGAGCCCTGCACCCAGGCGAGGAGAAGCAGGTGGAGCCGAGGCCCTTGGCGTCCGCGGCCTCCCACGGTGTGTGGAGAGCAGCGGACTCAGCGTACGGCCAGGCAAACACGCAAACCAGCAGCCCCCCAGGGACAGGAGGGCGCCTCCGGGGACAGAGCTCACTCCGCACAGCCACCGCCCTCGGACCCTCAGGCGGAGGCCCTGGAGCATCCCTCCGCCCGCGTCTGCCCCCCCCCCCCCGCCCGCCGGGTCCCACCTGCCTCACTCAGGCCTGTGGCTGCCCTCCCCGCCGGCCTGGCGCCGCTCCCCAGCCTCCCCTCCCCCCGGGGGCAGAAGAGCCACTCGCCTGCGAGGCCCAGAGGTAGTCCAGCCGCAGCCTGACGTCCACCTGCCGGGCGTGCAGGGCCAGCGTGCAGGAGAAGAGCAGCACGGCCAGGATGGGCTCGAACCCGCGCCCCGAGGCCGCACTCCTGGGAGAGGAGGAGGAGACCCCGTCAGTGCCCGGACTCTGGCACCGAGCGCCCACGGCGGCACCCCCTGCCCCGCCCCCTGAGCACAGCAGCCCGAGCTGACCCGGGCGGAGCACGTTGTCCCTGGAACCAAGGCTTCCCAAGGGGGGGGGGGGGGGGGGGGCGACTGGCAGAGCCGCCGCCGTGAGCAGACGCCATGCCGCCCGGGGCCCGGCAGGAGCCAGGAGCCGCACCTACCCCACGGCGCGGGTGTAGCCGCTGAGCTCCAGGACCAGGATGTAGGAGGCGCTGAGCACGCACAGCAGGACCAGCTTGGGCAGGGAGGGCACCCGCAGGAACAGGGCGAGCGGGAGGGTGCCCACCAGGCCGCACAGCAGGGCCTGGGGCGCCGCCTCGCAGGGCGGGGCGGGCAGCACGGCGTCCGGGCCTCCGGGTGGCAGCACCACCAGCGACGCGTTGGGGCCCGAGGGCCAGGCCCAGGGCAGGCAGCCCACCTGGAGGGCGAGGGCACGGAGAGGGGGCTCACCGCCTCCCGGAGCTGCCCTCCGCCCCGCTCTGCCCCCACCCCGCACTCCACTCCCTGCCCAGAGCCCCGGCTCCCCCCGCCTCCTCCTGTTCCCCTACCTCCACTGTCTCCCCCTCCCCCTCCACCTGTCCCGCCCCCGCCCCGCCTCCACCTTTTCCTCCCCCGGCTCTGCCTGCCCCCGCCCCCCTCCACCTGTCCCTCTGTCCCTGTGAAGGGCAGGTCTCGCTTTACCGAGGGGGGGAGGAAGGCTGCATTTATTCTGCTGGACGGTCTCCCCCGATGCCTGGGCACCCGGGCCTGTGTGACCCCTCACACGCCCTCCTCCCGGCCCAGCCCGGCCCTGGGCTCTCCCTGCCTCTCCCCGCCCGCCCGCCTCACCACGCAGCCTTGGGCCACGGCGTAGACCAGGATCACGACGAAGGCGCACAGGGCGGTGCGGATCCGGAGGGTCAGGCAGCCGGGGAGGCACTGCAGAGGGCGGGGACTCGGTGAGACGTCTGCTTCCCGGGGGCCGCGACCTCCACGGTGATCCCACCCACTCCTCATCACACACACACACACACACACACACACACACGTGCACACACGCACACGCACGCATACGCACAGTCACACATACACACACGCATATGCACACACTCACATACACACACACGCACGCACTCACACATACACACACGCACATGCCACTCGGTGGTTCCTTAGTTAACCTCCGGGGGAAATTTGCCAGAAAACCTGAGCGCTCCCTCCCTGCGGTGACCGGCACTGAAGCCAGAGCCCGTGACCTCACATTCCGAACGCTGAGTCCCCGGCTCACAACGGGAGAATTCCCGTTTACGGGTCTTTGTGCCCAAGTTCTACCATCTTGTTCAGACAGGTTTGGTATAACTTTTGTTAAGTTAAACATTTAATCTTAAACCTATTTTCATTCAACTTTCAATATTCAACAATTTTATGGATAAAAGTCAGAGTTCTTGCCTGTCCAGATATGCACGCACAGGGACAGGACACACGCATGCACATACATGGACCAGGTGGGGCACAGGGACAGGACACATGCACGCACATACATGGACTAGGTGGGGCACAGGGACAGGACACATATACACACATACGTGGACCAAGTGGGGCACAGGGGAGGGGACACACACACACATACGTGGACCAGGTGGGGCACAGGGGAGGGGACACACACACACATACATCGGCCAGGGGGGCACAGGGGGGACACATACATGCACATGCATGGGCCCGGTGGGGCACAGGGATAGGACACATACATGTACACACACATGGGCCCGGTGGGGCACAGGGAAACACATACATGCACGCACGGGCCCAGTGGGCACAGGGGGGACACATACATGCACACACACAGGCCCGGTGGGCACAGGAGGACACGCACCTGGACCCGGGTGATGTGCAGGTACAGGACACAGGACACCAGGAAGCAGATGCAGAACACCAGCAGGAGCAGGACGGCCACGCTCCTAGGACGGGTGGTGGTCACGGGCTGCCTGGGCGTCCGCCCTCCAGCCCGCCTGCCCCCCGGCCCCCAGAGCAGCAGGGCCTCTGGCTCCCTCCCAGGGAGGGTCCCGAGGACCCCCAACGGCTCCCCAGAGTCTCCATCCTGAGGGTCTGCAGAGGACGGGGAGGGGGCTCTGTCTGGGACCAGAGAGCCCCCGTGGGCCATCCCAGAGCGCGTGGCAGGACTCTCTGAACGTTTAACGGGAGCCACTGCTGGGAAGGAAGGGCTTCCTGTCTCCCTCGCTCTGAGGCCGGGAGACGTGTTATAACACCCCCTGCCGTCCGTGTTCTGGTCTCCTCTGGAGCCGAGGCAGTGGTGGGAGCGGGGACTCTGAGGACTCTGGGTCTCAGGTACAAGAGGAGCATCACCCTGAGCGTTACCACCCGCCATGGAGTCACCCTGAGCATTACCACCCGCCATGGAGTCACCCTGAGCGTTACCACCGCCGTGGAGTCACCCTGAGCGTGAGGCCTCCCGTGGAGTCACCCTGAGCGTGAGGCCCCCCGTGGAGTCACCCTGAGTGTTACCACCCGCCGTGGAGTCACCCTGAGCGTGAGGCCTCCCGTGGAGTCACCCTGAGCGTGAGGCCCGCCGTGGAGTCACCCTGAGCGTGAGGCCCCCCGTGGAGTCACCCTGAGCGTTACCACCCGCCGTGGAGTCACCCTGAGCGTGAGGCCTCCCGTGGAGTCACCCTGAGCAATTACCACCGCCGTGGAGTCACCCTGAGCGTGAGGCCTCCCGTGGAGTCACCCTGAGCGTGAGGCCTCCCGTGGAGTCACCCTGAGCATTACCACCTGCCGTGGAGTCACCCTGAGTGTGAGGCCTCCCGTGGAGTCACCCTGAGCGTGAGGCCCGCCGTGGAGTCACCCTGAGCGTGAGGCCCCCCGTGGAGTCACCCTGAGCGTTACCACCCGCCGTGGAGTCACCCTGAGCGTTACCCCCGCCGTGGGGTCACCCTGAGCGTGAGGCCTCCCGTGGAGTCACCCTGAGCGTTACCACCGCCGTGGGGTCACCCTGAGCGTTACCACCCGCCGTGGAGTCACCCTGAGCGTTACCACCGCCGTGGAGTCACCCTGAGCGTGAGGCCCCCCGTGGAGTCACCCTGAGCGTGAGGCCCCCCGTGGAGTCACCCTGAGCGTGAGGCCTCCCGTGGAGTCACCCTGAGCGTTACCACCCGCCGTGGAGTCACCCTGAGCGTTACCACCACCGTGGAGTCACCCTGAGCGTTACCACCGCCGTGGAGTCACCCTGAGCGTGAGGCCTCCCGTGGAGTCACCCTGAGTGTGAGGCCTCCCGTGGAGTCACCCTGAGTGTGAGGCCTCCCGTGGAGTCACCCTGAGCGTTACCACCCGCCGTGGAGTCACCCTGAGCGTGAGGCCTCCCGTGGAGTCACCCTGAGCGTTACCACCCGCCGTGGAGTCACCCTGAGCGTTACCACCACCGTGGAGTCACCCTGAGCGTTACCACCGCCGTGGAGTCACCCTGAGCGTTACCACCCGCCGTGGGGTCACCCTGAGCGTGAGGCAAACCCGGGCGTGGTTGAGGGAACGTGTGTGGCTGTGCCGCCCCCGACACGGGCAGGAAGGACGTAAAGAGGAAGGAACCCCTCCCCCTACCCCCATGGAGCCGCACTCACTGGGGGATGATGAGAAGGTAGACCAGGCCGAACAGGGCGGCCAGCACGAGGGCGAGCACCACGGCGCTGGTGAAGGACTCGTCCGGGAGCCGGTGGTACTGCGGACAGAGCCCCGTCAGGCCGCTGCCCACACGCAGGAGCCCGGGAGCCGGGCCGGTGCAGCGCCCACAACAGCACTGCCCCGGCCAGCGTGGGTCAGTGGTCAGAGCGCCGGCCGGAGCACCAAAAGGTCTTGGGTTCCATTCCCATCAAGGGCACATGCTTGAGTTGCAGGTTCAATCCCTGGCCCCGTTCCGGGAACACGTAGGAGGCTACTGACTGATGTCTCTCTCTCCCTCTCTCTCTTCCCCACTCCCTCCTACCCTAGCTTCCACTCTCTAAAAAAAAAAAAAAAAAAAAAAAAAAAAAAAAATCCATGGTGCCAGGCTGGTGTGGCTCAGTGGTTGAGCATTGATCTATGAACCAGGAGGTCAGGGTTCGATTCCCGGTCAGGGCACATGCCTGGGTTGTGGGCTCCATCACCAAAGGGGGCGTGCAGAAGGCAATCAATCAATGACTCTCTCATCTTTGATGTTTCTCTCTCTCCCTTCCTTTCTCAGACACCAACAAAAATATGTATTTTTTAAATCAATGGTCAGGACTTAAAGAACAGGGAAAGGAACAGCGCCCCCCACCCCCACGGGCCCGGAGGCACCCACCTTCCGCTCGCGCTCGGCCTGCTTGTACTGGAGGGTGAGCAGGTGCAGGTCCGCCACCTCCAGCTCCGTCTGCCGCGCCTCCAGCAGGCGGCCGATGTACCTGTTGACGCGGCTGCCAGGCGTGGCATGGACTGCGTTGGCGGAGAAGGACAGGCGGTTCCGGACCTTCTCCGAGGCCGTTCGCAGGGCCCTGCGCTGCGGATGCGGGGAGAGAGGCCGTCGCCGATCGCCACACAGAGGGACGCGCCTCAGCCCCCCTGCGCCCGAGCACGTGACCTCCGCGGCTCCATCACCCGCCGGGCGGGACACCCCGATTCCTGTCGCCGCGACGGGGTGAGTGGGTTACAGCAGCGATGGGGCGGCCTGGAGGGGGTGCCAGGACCCCTGAGTGCCTCGGGGACAGTGCCCAGCACAAGACAGCGACACAGGTTGGTTCTTCGAAAACATCAATAAAGTCGACAAACCTCCAGCAAGAGCGACAGACAGAGACGCTAACATCCAGGAGGGAACTGTCCCCCAGACCCAGGACCCTGAGTGGGAACCGGGGCGACCTGAGCAGGGTGCACCCTCCGCCTGCCTCTCCCTCGGACACAGGCCTCCGTCACCCCACAGGGCAGACAGGGAGGTCATCATTTCAAATCCCCCAAAACAACGCCAGGCCCGAGGCTGCGCTGGAGAACCCCACCAGACGTGGCACAAGCTCTCCCAGGAAATGGGAGGGGAGGGAGCCTTCCCAGCTCACTCTGTAACGTCCACATTAGCCAGACGCACAGCACGGAAAAGGCCCCTGCCGGCTGTATCTCTCCTCAGAACAGATGGAAAACGGCCTGCACACAACGTGAGCAGACAACTCAGCACCTCTAACTGGAAGCTCGCCTCAGCCCACTTCCAACCACGGGGAGGCAGGCTGGGACTCGCCGAGTCAGTGCAGTCTGGCCGCCGGCAGTCCGACGGAGAAATCACAGCGCCGAGCGGAGGATTCTCCACAGATTCCGACCACAAGCCGAGCAGCGGGCCGAGCGGAAGGCTGGCCTCCTGACCCCGCCCGCAAGCACTCAGGGAGCCTCCAGATCCAGTTCCCACCGACACGGGCTCCCGGCCAGACCACAACGAGCGAGGCCACAGCCGCCAGGGAGAGCCCGGCTTCCCTCTCTGAGATCGATGTCTCTTAAAGGCACAGAACCGGGAGGCAGAGGCAGGCATGCAGGCCGGACCAGACTCGGAAGGCAGCAGGCGGATCCCTGGTGGCATACAGGGACCCCGACGAGGAAGCGACATGCTCCTGGGGCGTGGGTGTCGGTGCCCACACAGGGGCTGTGGGGCAAGGACGGGTGATGTGGGGGGACACACAAGGCTGCTCTGTGCTGCTCACCCGGGGTCCCTGGAGGGGCTGGGGTCTCAGCCAGTCACAGACATGAGGCACGTGTGGTCACAGGACTCCCCAGGCACCCCAACCTTGCCCCAGGCTCTCCCCCAGGATCCCAACCCCAGCAGACACCAGAAGAGCCGGACCCACACACCAAGGAGGGGTGACTGGGACAGGCTGGAGGGCGGGGGCAGGAGGCCTGAGACTCTGGGCCGAGCAAGACGCCCGACAGGCGCGTGTCTGAGGCAGATTCTGATGGTGGGGACCTTACCGGGGAATTCACCGGCAAACGGGCAGAATGCCAGGTTGCAAAAAGCAGGCGGGCTAAGCAAACAGTTCTGCAGGAAAGCAGCCAGGCAAGCCGGCGACCGGGACCAAGCAGGCGACGGAGACCGAGCCGGCGACCGGGACCGAGCCAGCGACCGGGACCGAGCGGGGACAGAGACCGAGCGGGGACAGAGACCGAGCGGGGACAGAGACCGAGCCGGGACAGAGACTGAGCGGGGACAGAGACCGAGCCGGCGACCGGACCGAGCCGGGACAGAGACGGAACCGGGACAGAGACGGAGCCGGGACAGAGACGGAACTGGGACAGAGACGGAGCCGGGACAGAGACCGAGCCGGGACAGAGACGGAGCCGGGACAGAGACCGAGCCGGCGACCGGACCGAGCCGGCGACCAGACCGAGCCGGGATAGAGACCGAGCCGGCGACCGGACCGAGCCGGGACAGAGACGGAGCCGGGACAGAGACGGAGCCGGGACAGAGACGGAGCCGGGACAGAGACCGAGCGGGGACAGAGACCAAGCCGGGACAGAGACGGAGCCGGGACAGAGACGGAGCCGGGACAGAGACAGAGCCGGGACAGAGACCGAGCGGGGACAGAGACGGAGCCGGGACAGAGACCGAGCCGGGACAGAGACCGAGCAGGCGACTAGGACCAGCGGCACCGCCCGCGGGCTACCTTGTCATCGTCCTCACAGGTCATGACGTTGGAGAAGGGGATCTCGGCCTTGAACATCTTGCGGCACTGCATGAGCTGCACCAGCAGGTAGCACACTGTCTTGAACTTCATCCTCTTGGCCGGCTTGATGTCCGAGAGGATCAGCCCCGGGAAGATCTGCGGACGGACAGCGCGGGGAGCGTGAGCAGCCGCCCGGCCCTGCGTGGCTGCTGCAGAACAGGCGTCCGCTCCAGCCTCCGCACGGGGCCTCGGGGACTTGCAGGGACCAGCCGGCAGGGGGGCTCCAAGCATGCACCCCCTGCCTCTGGCCACGGGTGCCAGAGTCGCCGAGGGGGGGCAGCATCCATGAGCCCCATACCCCTCCCCTGCGCCCTGGCCTGACCTGTCGCCCTGCATCCTGTCACATCGCCCACATACGCTGGCCACCGTCCTGCTGTGTGCACTCACCTCCGTCCGCGGGGCCCCTCCCTGACAGAGGGTGTCTCTAACCCGGTTTGTACAAGAGGCAGTGCAGGCCCCGGGAGGGGCCCCCAGAACCCAGGGGTCAGATTATCAAGTGCTTGCCCCCACCACCACACGCACACGCACACGCACACGCACACGCACACGCCAAGGCCAGCCCAGACCGGACGTGGGGGACACCCAGGGTGCCGGAGTGCCGGCGCAGAGGCGCGGGAGGAGGAGGCCCACCTTGCGCCGGTGCGAGGGCACGATGAAGAAGGTCTCGATGTTGTGAGCGCGCAGGAAGCCGTTCCTCTCCTGCCCGTGGCCCGGCTCCACCTCGTAGTCGCCGTTCAGACACTCCAGCGTGGCCTTGGTGATGTGCACCTTCCTGCGGGAGCCGCCGCTCAGAGGCCAGCGCCGCTCCGGCCCAGCTCACCGGGTCCGAGCGGAGCCGGTGTGGCGCGGGCATCGCCCACCCCCGGACACACGGCCGGTCCCTCCAATGGGGGAACGTCCTCCCTGCAGCCCCCACTGCGGACAGGGCCACCCCGTGCTCAGGGGGTTGTGGGTGTCAGCCTCGCTTTGGAGTCTGAAGACTGAGGCGGAGCAGGCACCTGTCGTCAGCGCGTGTGCCCTGAGGGGCCCGGAGGCGCGTCCTGGGGATCCAAAGCCGCTGGAGCCCAGCGCCTCCTCAGGGAAGGACGGAAGCGAACCGGCACCAGAATCAGCACCTGGGACAGCGCCGCCCGGAGCCTCCTCATTGGGGCTCGGCTCAGAGTCCCCGCCCACCTCCTGAAACTCCGCCCACACCACCGGAGCCTCCTCATTGGAGCTCTGCTCAGAGTCCCGCCCACCTCCTGAGACCCCCACCTCCTGAGACCCCGCCCACATGGAACGGTTGTTGTAGGTCTCGAGGCACGTACCCGGGGAGGCACGTACCCGGGGAGGCACGTACCCGGGGAGGCACGTACCCGGGGAGGCACGTACCCGGGGAGGCACGTACCCGGGGAGGCACGTACCCGGGGAGGCACGTACCCGGGGAGGCACGTACCCGGGGAGGCACGTACCCGGGGAGGCACGTACCCGGGGAGGCACGTACCCGGGGAGGCACGTACCCGGGGAGGCACGTACCCGGGGAGGCACGTACCCGGGGAGGCACGTACCCGGGGAGGCACGTACCCGGGGAGGCACGTACCCGGGGAGGCACGTACCCGGGGAGGCACGTACCCGGGGAGGCACGTACCCGGGGAGGCACGTACCCGGGGAGGCACGTACCCGGGGAGGCACGTACCCGGGGAGGCACGTACCCGGGGAGGCACGTACCCGGGGAGGCACGTACCCGGGGAGGCACGTACCCGGGGAGGCACGTACCCGGGGAGGCCCGCGGTCTCCATGACGTTGGCCAGCGTCACGTCGTTGGACCACACGTCGTACTGCCACTTGCGCAGGCCCAGGACGCCGCAGAGGACGCGGCCGGTGTGCAGCCCCACGCGCATGTTGAGGTTCACCTCGGTGGCCTCGGCCACGGACCTGCGCACAGACACGGGCCTGTGCTGCGGGGCCGGCTGCTCCCTCGAGGCCGCACGCCGGGTCCAGGCCTTTGTGTCCCTGATGCGGCCCAGCGCAGGGCCTGGACCCGCAGGAGCGTGGGGCCACCTGACCTCTCACCGGCCCCACGCTGTGGTCCCCCAGCTCCGGCCACCGGCCTGTCCCAGGGCGCCCCCTGCCCACCAGGCAGCCCAGGAGGGAATGATGCTGCCCTGGTCCCTCTCAATGCGGCCAGGACCAGGCAAGGCTGGCCAGGAGGCGGCAGGCCAGGCCCTGCCGCCCCAGGAACGCTCCCCACAGGGTGCCCCTGCCCCCTGGCCTTGGCCCTGCCCAGGAAGGCAGGCACAGGCCGCTCCGAGCCCAGGGAACTCAGCCGGGTTGGCGCCAGCTCCCCCGTCCGCTCCTGACCCCGCATCCCACTGCGAGGGAGGCCACTCCTCCCGCCACCACGGGCGTGCCTGGGGGCCCGGTTACCGGGGCGGACAGAAGCAGCCCCAGAGTCCACAGGAGGGCCCGCGCAGCTCCACAGCAGGCGGAGTTCTCCACGCCACCCTCGCCGCAGCCGGCTCTCTCAGACTGACGGACGCGAGGGCCGCGGGGCCCGGGCACTCACGTGATGGTGTCGATCATGTCCAGCCCCATCTCCACGCAGCAGTGGGCGTGGTCGGCCTTGGGCTGGGTGAGACCGGACACGCAGTAGTAGCAGTCGCCCAGGATCTTGATGCGCCGGCAGTGGTTCTCCTGAGGGCAAAGCGTCAGGGTGTCAGGCCGGGGGCCGTCTCCACGGGAGCTGCTCCTCCCCCAGGCGTGGAGACCCAGACCAAGGCTGGGCGCTCCCCTCCGGCAGCCCGGTCTCTGTGATCAGGTGGCCCTGGAGTGCCCACACCTCCCCACCTCTCCCCCCATCCATCAGCCCCCCTCCCCCCGCCCGACAGCCCCCTGCCTGTCTCCTCTAGCCCAGAGTGCCTGACCAACTCCAAACACCCACAGCCTCCACCTAACTGCTCTGAGCTCCCGAGAACGAGCCGATGACGAATGAGACCTAGCAGGCGGCCTGCAGCTGGCCATGGGAGCAGCCCGGGCGGATGAGGCCCCCGAGTTCTGGGGGTTCGGGGCAGGGGGGCGGGGCTTGAACGGCAGCAAAATCACAGCCACCTGTGTCCCCACCCTGAAACGCAGAGCAAGTCCCCCCCGCCCGGCCCCACGCAGGCCCAGTCCCAGGGCAGACGGCCTGGCCAGCAAAGCCCAGTGGTTGAAAGTTAACCATGAACCAGGTTCGATTCCTGTCAGGTTTCGGGCTCAATCCCCAGCGTGGGGCATGCAGGAGGCAGCCGGTCAATGATTCTCATCCCTGAAATTTCTCTCTCCCTCTCCCTTCCTCTCTGAAATCAATAAAGATATATTTTTAGGGGAGAACCAAGATGACGTCCTACATAAGTGCCTAAACTGCCGCCTCACAACAATTTCAAAACAACAACTAAAAGACAGAACGGACATCATCCAAACCCCAGGAAAGCTGGCTGAGCAGGAAATCTACAGCCACGGATGGGATCGGGAGCCGCAAAGCGCTGAGGCAGGGAGACGCTCCCGCAGAGAGGGAGGGCGGCCGAGTGCTGGGCGGGCGGGAGGGGAAAGGAAGCCCTGACTGCACTGAACCCCAGCCCCAGCCAAAACTCCGTGGTCCCAGGCTGGACAGGTGGAGTCTGGACTGTACAGAAAGGCACCCAGAGACTCAGAGACGGGGAGACACGGGGAGCCGGGAGCCGCAGCGTGCGAGTGAGTGCGCACAGAGAGGTCTGAGCAGACTGGGAGATGTGCGAGAGCTGGCGGCATCAGGAGAAGCTGGGTTTGCAGCTACACGCTCCCCAAGGGAAGCCCCGCGTCCGAGGGTGCCGCCCAGACGCGGCCATGCGCCCAGGAAGGAACGCCACCAGCCTCACAGACTCCCGGCAGGGGGAGGACACGCCGCGCCCCTGTGGGACAAGCACGCATGACCCTGACCCCGCAGACAGGGCGAGGGAGCCTGAGTCACACCCTCCGGACAGAGATGGAAAATTCTAAATAAAGTCTTAGCACATCAAAGCCCACAGACACCAAAGCGACCCCCCCGCCCGCGCCCTGCGGTCCGGACCCAAGGCCGTTCTAACATCCGCCCCGCAAGGGACGCCCCACGTGACCGTCCCAGAGGCCTCCAGCGCTGGGCGGCAGCCAACCCGTTCCCCACAGGAGCTCTCAGAATGAGGATCAGAGGCAACGTCCTCGGCTCGGAGAACGGCAGCCACAGCCCAGGCACCGACATCACCCGTGGAAGGGATGGACACGCTCCCGCCACGATCAGGCCAAGGCCCCTCGCGCAGGGAGGCTTTGCCGACCGGTGACACCTGCCCCTGATGCCCAGGGGCTTAGGGTCCCTATGGCGCCACAGGCAGGGGGCTGGGCAGGTGCCCGCCTTCCTCACCTGCGAACCCACAGGCGCCCCAGGAGCCGCGTGGGTGAGCCAACCTCAGCCCATTTGTTCCAGCCACAGCCCCGTGTGGACCCAGACCTGGTTCCTGCGCTTCCGTGGCAGGGCTTACAGTGTCAGCGCTTCCGTGGCAGCGCTTACCGTGGAGGGGCTTACCGTGGCAGCGCTTACCGTGGCAGCACTTACCGTGGCCAGCTCGTCGAACTTGCCGAAGAGCTCGTTGAGCAGCTTGACCAGCTCCTGGGCTGTGCACTGCGACGCCAGCCCCGTGAAGCCCACGATGTCCGCGAAGAGGATGCTGCAAGACACGGCCGCGGTCACTGCCGCCGCCGTTCACCGGACCGGCTGCTGGTGCCCCTGCCCCTCGTCACCTCAAAGCACATCCTCCTGCTCTTCCTAACCCGACCGGGAGCCAGGCTTTCCCCTCCCCCTTCGGGAGGGAAGACCGCGGTCGGAAGGAGCAGGAGACGCTGCGGCCACTCAGGCCCCGCTGACCCTGTCCAGCCACGCATGCGCCCCACATTCTGGACCTCAGACTCCTCACAAAGTCCACGGAGTGTAGGATGCTGGCAGGTCTTAGGGTGAGGATCCTCCTGCCTGGGCTCGAACCCTGGCCCACACCGTGGCGTCTCCCTCCTGGTCTTCAGGGTACTCTCTCTAGGGGGACAACTATCCTCCTCCATCACCTCCTCCATCACCTCCACCACCTCCACCTCCTCCACCACCTCCACCTCCTCCATCACCTCCATCTCCTTCATCACCTCCTCCTCTTCCTCTTTTTTCTCCTCCTCCTCCTCCATCACCTCCATCTCCTCCTCCGCCATCCCCTCTTCCTCCTTCATCACCTCCCCCCTCACCTCCTCCTCCTCCATCACCTCCATCTCCTTCATCACCTCCTCCTCTTCCTCTTTTTTCTCCTCCTCCTCCATCACCTCCATCTCCTCCTCCTCCATCCCCTCTTCCTCCTTCATCACCTCCCCCCTCACCTCCTCCTCCTCCATCACCTCCTCCTCCATCACCTCCTCCATCATCACCTCCTCCATCTCCATCACCACCTCCACCTCCATCTCTTTCACCACCTCCTCCATCATCACCTCCACCTCCTCCATTATCAACTCCACCTCCTCCATCACCTCCACCTCCTCCTCCATCAGCTCCTCCTCTTCCTCCATCAGCTCCATCTCCTCCATCAGCTCCATCTCCTCCATCACCTCCACCTCCTCCTCCATCAGCTCCACCTCATCCTCCATCAGCTCCTCCTCCTCCATCAGCTCCACCTCTTCCTCCATCAGCTCCTCGGCCTCCATTACCTCCATCACCTACATCTCCTCCATCACCTCCTCCGTCACTCCACCTCAGCTCCCAGGCTCTCAGCCCCAGCCCAGCGCACTACCTCACGTTGTCATGCCGCTGGATGTAAATCTTGTGGAAAATCCTCTCGGGGGGCTTCAGGAAGTCCTCCTTCATCTCCATGGCAACGTTCCGGGGCAGAAGGCTCATGAGCAGCCGCTCCTGGACGGGAGAGATGGTGCTGCAGGGCCCTCCCTGCGCCTCCCCGAGGCCTCTGCCCTCCTCCCCACAGCATGGAACCAGCCCTACAGCCCCGCCTCGCCCCACAGCACAGGGATCAGCCCTGCAGCCCCCTGGCCCTCCACAGCCCCAGTCAGGGCACAGACTGTGGGTGTGGCCCGGGTGTCCTCCAACCAGAACCCCAAGAGGTGCCTTTTTAGGGTGCTGAGACCTGAGACTGTGGGGCCCCCATCCCCCTCTGCCACTGGCCACTCATCACTCACTTCATTCTCCTCCCCAAGCCAGGACGTCCTCCGCCCCCCGGTTCCCAGGTCGCCAGACAGAACCACGTTCCTTCACACTCAGCCCGAAGCAGAGGCCTGGACTCCTTACAGAACCCGCCCCGCCCGGCGGCCCACGGGCACTCCTCCCCACCAAGATCGTCTCAGAGCCGCCCGCCCCCGCCCCCGCCAGAACTGGGGCGCACCTCCTGGGCTCACCCAGGAGGCTCTAGCAGGGCACTGAGCTGCACTGTTGTTAACGGTTCAAACGTGAAAGCAGAGACCGTGACACCCGTGGCCGGGCCCCCACACCAGCAGCTCGGGCCTCGGTTCTCACACGGACAGGGGGCGGGCTGGACAGGGCTGCTCGGCCGCCTTCAGGCTGCTCCGGTGGCTGCTCCGGGCGTGCCGGGCCGACCCCAAGCCTGACCAGAGCTGCTGAAGCCCAGGAGCCCCCGTCAGGGCTCCCCGCACTGAGAGCAGTGCGCCCGGCGGGGCCGCGGGGACAGCCGTCCCGGGACCGACCTGCAGGCTGCACTTCCATCAGCGGAGACGGTCCAGCAAGTGGGACACGCCGGCCGGGCCCCGAGGGGAGTGACCGGCCCTCGCTCCCCATCCCACGCCCAATGGTCCTGCGGGGATGCGGGGAGGGCCTGAGGGGCGCGAGCTGCGCCAGACGGCTGGGGAGCTGGACTCCCGGAGACAGCACGGCCGGGGGCCACCCACCTGCTTCTCGTTCTCGTCCTCCAGCCGCAGCCGGTCCTCGATGCAGGAGCGCGCCTGCAGGAAGGCCCTGCGCTGGGCCCGCTCGGCCAGCGCCCTCGCGCACACCCCGTACATGTTCACGCCCAGGAAGAGCAGGGCGTTGGCGGCCAGCTGCGGGGAGAGGACAGGGCATGGGCGGGGCCCCCGGCGGCTCCCCAGGCCCCTGCACAGGCAGCTCGGAGGGGCCTCTGGCAGCCGTTCCAAACCCTTCCTGTCATCGCAGAAACGGACGTTTCCTGCGACCGAGAAAGCCGAGCTGTTCCGGAAGGTTCCAGGGCCGCGGCTTCTGGACTGACTAGAAATACTCCCCACACAGGGCGGCCTCGCTCGCGATCACAGGACAAAACCAGCACCGGCACGTGGCCCACAGGCCATGGTCAGGCTCCGGCCAGGGGCCAGGCGGGGAGGACGGGACACAGGGCAGGGAGACAGGACGGGGAGGGAGACAGGACGGGGAGGGAGACAGGACAGGCAGGGAGACAGGACAGGGAGGGAGACAGGACGGGCAGGGAGACAGGACGGGGAGGGAGACAGGACGGGCAGGGAGACAGGACGGGGAGGGAGACAGGACGGGGAGGGCGGGACAGGGCAGGGAGACAGGATGGGCAGGGAGACAGGACGGGGAGGGAGCAGGCCCACAGGCAGGGAGGGAGGCGGTGGGCACAGGCGTGGCAGCCTCAGCCTCAGGACCTCCAGGGCACGGACAGGCAGACCTGCTGCGGGAGCCGTGACTTCCACCTGCGTTGGGGACAGACCGCAGGAGCGAATCTGTGAGCCCAGTGGCGTCCCCAAAGACAGAAGTGAGTGCGTGGGAACCTGTGGGCAGAGGCCCCTTTCCACAGAGCCCGAGCCCCACTGGGTGGCTCCGTGGCTGAGCATCGACCTGTGAACCAGGAGGTCTCAGTTGGATTTCCGGTCAGGGCACAGGCCCTGGTTGTGGGCTCGATCCCCAGGGTGTGGGTTCGATCCCCGGTAGGGGGTGTGCAGGAGGCAGCCAACCCATGATTCTCTCTTCATTGGCATTCCTATCTCTCTCCCTCTCCCTTCCTCTCTGAAATCAATAAAAACATATTTTTAAATAAATAAATAAAACAAAATGGAGCCAGAGCTGCCGATCCAGAGGGACAGCCAAGCTCCTCTTATTCCTCCACCTGGACTTTTTGACCGGCCAAGCAGCCCCTGCTCGGGGCCCCACGCAGCAGTGATCCCCCCCGAGTTGTGAGCAAGACCAATGAGAAAGAGATGGCCCCAGCCGGCGTGGCTCAGTGGGTAGAGCGTCAGCCTGCGGACTGAGGGGTCCCAGGTTCGATTCCGGCCAGGGGCACATGCCTGGGTTGCGGGCTCCGTCCCCAATGTGGGGTGTGCAGGAGGCGGCTGATCAATTATTTTCTCTCATCATTGATGTTTCTACCTCCCTCTCCTCCCTTCCCCTCTAAAATCAATAAAGAAATATTTTTTTTTTAATTGAAGAGATATGAGGACTGCGGACTGAGAACCAGAAACTGTTCAATCTCGGTGTCACTGCCACGCTCTCTGCACCCACAGCCACGCCGTCCTGCTACGGGGGAAAGGTCCCCTCCCTTCCCCACAAACACCGCCGCCCACCACCGCCCGCCCATCGGACGTGGGCTTCCCCGGGACGGAGCGAGCCTCCGAGCCCCTGTTCCCGTGGTGGCCTGGCCGCCGCCTCTCCCTCTGGAAGCCTGTTATCCTGGGGCTAAGTCATCAGCACACAGGTTGGAGCCAGTTCGGTCTCACACACGCCTGCCAGGTGGGTGCACACACCCCAGACAGACACGAGGGGTCGCACGCCCCCTGGAGACCAGCACCTGCCAGCACAGGGAGGAGCAGCTCTGGCTCTGGGCACAGGTGTGGCTGACGGTCCTCGGAGACTTTGACCCGAACACCCCCAGGTGGCCTGTCCTCTTCGCTGTGACCTGGCCGTCCCAGCCCTCTCCCCCGGGTGCTGTCTCCGAGCTGGACACCGGGTGCCGGTGTGCTTCTGCGGTGCCTGGGCCCGGTGCCTCCCGGCGGGCGGGGCTGAACCTGGGCCAGGTCCCAGTGACCAGGCGGTTCTGACCCGTGTGCCTGCACAGGCCCTGGCGGCAGCCGGGCGGCCAGCAGGTATGAACAGCAGACGCGGTTGTTGAAACCGCACCGAGCTGGGAGCCTGCCCACAGGCACACGGGGCCGTTCCCGCGGAGCAGCCTTCCCCCGAGACACCCCACCTGGCTCCCACGTGACATCTGGAACACGCCCAACATGGGGCCCATGGGACTGCCTTCCCTCCCAGAGGCCCGCCCACCCGCTCCCGTCTCCGAGGGCCTGCCATGGAGCGCCAGCAGTTCCCCCCTCAGGATGGCACCATCCGGTGGGGGACAGCGGGCCAGGCCACCCAGCCCAGGGGTACAGGAGCCAAGGTCTGGGCACGGCCAGACAGAGGGGCTGAAGGACCGGCCGGGGCACAAGGGCTGGGGACAGACCACGCCTCCATACCATTCCTTCCACTGCGGCCATGATGGTCTCAGGTAAACTGAGGCCCAACCAGCGGCCATCAGCCCCTGGCTGCCCAGTCACAGAGCTGCTTCTGGAGGAGCCCAGGCCTGCTCGGGGGTCAGCCTTGGGGGCAAGTCCTCTAAGAACTGTGCCCACCTTAACGCAAACCCCATGTGACCCAAACCCCATGTAACCTGAACCCTTCATGGGATCTAAACCTCCATGTGACCTGAACCCCCCTCCATGGACCTGGCCGTCTTCTCTGTGACCTTGGACACCTCTAGTCCCTCCACGCCGAGTACTGTCCCCGAGTACTGTCCCCTGGGAACAGGTGCAGGTTGGAGCCGGGGGTGGGGGGGGGAGTCCCCTGGCCCTGGCACCCATACTCACACACCGGTGGCTCCCAGCACCTCGCCAACCTGCCCACCAGCAGACAGCCTGCACACTGTCTCCCAGCCTCCTTCCTGGACACACATCCTCCCTCCCTCTCTCTCTCTCTCTCTCACACACACACACACATTCACTCTGTCTCTCTCACACCTGCTCAGGGGCCGAATACCCCCACCCCCACCCCAGCAGCCCTGGCCTTTCCCTGCCCTCTGCCTTCACCCCTCCTTTTCCTCTCCCCTTCCCCCTCCAGGTCGCCATCCTCCTGCCCTCCCAGCCCCCCCTTTCCGTCCCTGGTCCTAGGGCTCCTGTGACCACGGGTGCCCAGGGCATCAGTCTGGGGGCGCCTCTGTCACCCCCACAGCTGACTGACTCCCATCCCCCACCAGCTGCCTGGCCCGTCCACCTGCCCCTCCGCACCCCTTCCCTCCCCTCCTCCATCTGCCGCCGCTCTCCCTTCCCTCCCCCGCCCCCCCTCTGAGTCCCCCGCCCTCCGGGTCCCCGCCCTCCGGGTCCCCCCCGGCCCCCGGGTCCCCGCGCCCTCCGGGTCCCCCCGCCCTCCGGGTCCCCCCGCCCCCCGGGTCCCCCCGCCCCCCAGGTCCCCCCGCCCTCTGGGTCCCCCCGCCCCCCGGGTCCCCCCGCCCTCCGGGTCCCCCTGCCCCCCGGGTCCCACACCCTCGGGGGACCGGAGGGCCGCGGAGGGGGGACCGGGCGCTGCGACCTTGGCAAACCCGGCCCTTCAGGACCGAGAGGGTCCCCGGTGCCTGGGCAACAGGAGGGGCGGAGTCCTCCTCCCTCCTCGCCTCCCCGCCCCCCCCGGGGCCTCAGGGCTGGGGGGACCCCGCACCCGGGTCGCTCGGGCGCGGAGCCGGGAGGAGCGGCCGCCCGGACCCCGCTCCGCACCCGCTTCCTCCGGGGATGGGCGCCGGCAGAGCGCGGAGGCTCCGGCCGGGGGGGGGCGCCACCGCCGCTGACCTTGGGGCGCTCCTGGTCCGCACGGCTCGCGTCTCCGCCTCCGCACGGGACCCGGAGAGGAGCCCGGCCCCCGGCCCCGGCCCGGGCTCCGAGTGACCTTGGGCGCTCCCGGCCGGGGCGCGGATCCCCGCTACCCGAGGAGACGCGCCCCGGCCCCCCGCGCCGGGCCCCCGCGCCCGCCCCCCGCGCCGGCCCCCCGCGCCCGCCCCCCGCGCCCGGCCCCCCGCAGGCGGTCCGGCCCCCGGCGCGGCGCTTACCGTCCTCCAGAGGCGCGGGCGCCGGGCGGGCCCCAGGGCGGCCGTGACCAGCAGGTGCGCGGCGGCCACCACCAGCCCGAAGCCGGCGGCCAGCGGGCCGCCCACGGGCAGCAGCGCGTAGGCCACGAAGGTGACGAGGAGCAGCGGCCACACGCCCTGGTCCGCGGCGGGCGCCCCGGAGAGCGCGGCGGGCGCGAAGGGGCAGGCGAGCAGCGCGAAGGTGAGGCAGAGCAGCAGCGCCAGCGCCCCGACCTGCCGCAGGCGCCGCGCGGGCAGCGCGCGCACGTGGGTGGCCACGAGCAGCGCCAGGAAGAGCGCGAAGTGCGCGGGGTGCGAGCCGCCCGCCGGGCCCCGCGCGCCCCCCGCGCCCAGCAGCTCGCCCAGCGCCAGCGCGCCCGCCAGCAGGCTCAGCACGGCCAGCGCCCGCCGCGCCGCCGCCTGCTCCAGCCGCAGCGCGTAGCCGCGGAACAGCGCCTCCAGCTCGGGGCACGCGAAGCCGCCGCCGCACGCCCGCAGCCCGCGCCGCAGCCCGCCCGCCCGCCCGCCCCCCGGCTCCGCGGAGCCGCCGCCGCCTCCGCCGCCTCCGCCCGGGCCGCCGGGGCCGCGCGGCGCCCCCGCCATCTCAGCGCCATGCAGCGGCGCCCCTCGCCGGCCGGGGCGCCGGGCGGCGGGCGGCCGAGGTGGGAGCCGCTCCCGCGCGCGCCCCGAGCGCGTCCCCTCCACCGCCGCGCCTGCGCACTGCGCCCCCGCCGGTCCTCCGCGGCCGCCAGGCGAGGCGACAGCCCCGTCCCCGCCGCCCGCGTGCGCCCCGCCCGGACCCCCGCCCCCGCCAGGACCTCCCGCGTGAGCCCTGCCCGGACCCCCGCGTGCGCCCCGCCCGGACCCCCGCGTGCGCCCCGCCCGGACCCCCGCGTGCGCCCCGCCCGGACCCCCGCGTGCGCCCCGCCCGGACCCCCGCGTGCGCCCCCGCCAGACGGGTAGCGGCCGGGGCACCGCTGTGCCCCGTCTCTCGGGCGTTGGAACCGCTGGAATCTGCGCTGTTCCCGGGGGTGCCCACGTGTCTCCCCAACAGGACCCGGCCCGCCGGCCCAGGAGCGGAGGTGCCACCCGCGCCCGGGGCCCGGGAGACCCAGAAGCTGTGCCGGACCCGCGGGGAAGGGGCGGTGGGGCGGGCGGGGGCTCCCACAGCCTGGGGGGCGGGCTGGAGAGGGCTGGTGTCCGGGCCGGGCCGCGGTTAGGAGGCAGGGGGAGGCCCGAGGGAGAGACAGGAGAGTGAGGGGCTGCAGTGTGCCCCAAGGGGAGCTGTTCCCTGCCCACCCGCGCGGGGCGCCCGTGGCCCCTCTTACGCACACCCTGGAGGGAGGGCTGCATCTGGTCCCCTCCGCCTTGGGCGGGTGCCTCGGGCCCACAAACAAGAGGGCCCCGGGCAGGTACCAGGAGCTGGGCCCCCCTCCCCCAAAGACCAGGAGGCCGCCCTCTTCCAGACGCCGGGCCTCCGGGGGATGGGGGAACAGGTACCTGCTTTAGGGGCGCCCCGGACCCCGTGGGCTGCGGGCCTGAGGATGGGGATCTCAGGAGAGTCTCCTGTCCCAGCGTCAGGATTAGGTGCCGGTGCGGCTCAGTGGATAGAGCGGCGGTCTGCCAACTGAAGGGTCTGGGTTCGAGTCCGGTCAAGGGCACGGCCTCTGTGGCAGACCCCTGGCCCTGGTCCAGGCGCGTGTGGGAGGCAACCAGTCAGTGTGTCTCTCCCGCTCCCTTCTCCTCCCTCTGAACATCAATAGAAACGTCCTCCAATGACGATTTCCAACAACCGAGTGGCCACAGGTCAGCTCTGATGGCTGCACAGACGGCACCTCAGTCTCACCCAGGCCAGGCCTCCTGCCCACTCCATCCCAGCGGCTCCCAGCGGCACGTGGGTGGGGTCCCCAGGCCCCACCCCCAATCCTCCACCCCCACTCCCTCTGGGTAGGTCTCCGGAACTGGTGTCCCTGAGGGGAGGCCAGCCGAGGCCCCTGGTGGCAAAGTGCCCTCCCACCACCTCATCCTGCCTGTCCCCGACAGAAGCACCGTGTGGGGCTTCCTTCTCCAAATCAGGGGCCGTTCTGGCAGACGCTCTGGGTGTGTGGTATGTCCTAAAGCTGAGTGACGGCCTCAGCTGGATCAGCCCAGCCCGTGTGGCTCAGGGAATGAGCACTGACCTATGACCCAGGGCACCGGCCCGAGTTGCTGCTTGATCCCCAGTGGGATCGTCATTGATTCTCTCATCATGGATGTTCCTCTCCCTTCCTCTCTGAAATCAATACAGGTATAAAAATAAAATGAAAACTGGATCGGACGACAGGCCCCGATGGCCGTGATGAAGTGACGGGGAAAGGTCACAGGTCAATAGCCCCTCCCCCTCCCCCACCTGCTTCCGGAGAGCCAGAGCCGTGGTGGCTTCCTGTGCCCCGGGCCCCGCTGTCCGGCCAGACCGCCTGTGACAGGTTCCTCCCCACATAGAAGCCCCAAAGGGCGGCTTGCAGCCAGCGTGACGGGAGGTCACCCCTGGGCAGGGCAGGCGCACACCATCGGCCCGTGTCCCCGGTTCACCCGGACCCAGGCTGCGCCTTGCTTTTCCGAGGTGGCGGCCAACGCAGTGCGATGGGGTCGCACTGGAGCCGGGGGTCCCAGGCCGGCCTGACTGTGTCCTCCCGTGTGCTCTGGGGCAGGCCACGTCCCAGGAGGACGGTGGGGACCGGGGCGACGCTGCCACAGCCGCACAGGCCCTCCCACAGCCCCGCCCACTCCTGGTCTGGGACACCAGCCTCCGCAGGGGCAGAGGGGTCTGCGGTTTGAGCCCCCGTGTCCTGGATGCCTCGGTGTGACGGACGGTGAACACCGACCCACAGCCAAGGGCCGCTGGGACCCCACGGCGCTGAGCGGACCGCGGGACCGGCACCGTCCCATCAGGTCCTGCCGGGCGGGACCGGCTCCGGTCACCTGCCGGAGACCACGCATGCACTCTCCTCTCCGCTTCCCAAGCCCCAGGTCTGTGGACAGCCTCGGCCTGTGCCCTGCGTCCCTAGGACTGCCCATCGTTGCCAACCTCCTGTGTGCCTTATCCAGGTCCTCCTCCCCCTCCTCTTCCCCTCTTTTTCTTCTTCTTTTCTTTTTTCTTTTTTTTAATATATTTCATTGATTTTTCACAGAGAGGAAGAGAGAGGGTTAGAGAGTTAGGAACACCAATGAGAGAGAATCATCGATGAGCTGCTGCTTGCACACCCCCTACTGGGATTGTGCCCACAACCAAGGTATGTGCCCTAGACGGAATCGAACCCGGGACTCTTCAGTCCGCAGGTCGATGCTCTATCCACTGAGCCACACCGGTTTCGGCCTCCCCTCTTTTTCTCCCTCCCCCTCCCCCCCTCAGTGTAACAACTGAAGGCCTGGGCCCTCCGACACCAGCAGCGAGCGTCCCTGATGGTGGGCAGGCCCGGCGGGGGACAGTCCTGGCTGAGTGGAGGCCGGAGGCTACCGTCCAAGCCGGAGGCTCAGCCCCTCCCCGCTGGGTGGCTGTGGGCAGGTGACTCGGCCTCTCTGTGCCTGGTCTCCTCAAGGACGGCTCACAGGATTCTGGCGGGAGAGGCCGGCCACACGCCTCTGCCGCTAACGTGTCTGCCCTCCGAGCACACGGCGGCTGCACGGATGGGCCGAGCTGCCGTGGAGGCCAGGCGCCCGCAGAGGCCAGGGTGTCGCTCTGAGGGGCCTCTGTGCAGGGCAGCTCGCCCAGTCCCTCCTCTTCACCAGATCCAGCCTCCGCCGGGAGCCCACCCCGTCCCCGTGCACTGGCGGGTCTGTGAGGGGAAAAGGGTGGTGACGTTCACAGGGACCCGCCTCTGGGCAGGTTAACCTGGTCAACGCCTTTCTCAGCCCCAAGCCCCCCAGCCACAGGCTCCATCAGCCACTCGCATGGCATCCTGGGAGGTTGCCGTGTCATCGGGGGTACAAGTGGCCGCAGAGGCCTTGGCGCCCGTGGTGGGTGAGGGTCCAGAGGCCTGGAGGAGGCCGTGTGGATGCTGGGGGGGAGGCGCAGGGGGGCGGGGTGCTCTGCCATTGAGAGGCTGTGAGTGAGCCGGCAAAGCACAGACAGGCCTGGCCCCTGGAGGGGGTCCCGGGCTGAGTGAGGCCAGGGCGGGGTTCTCCGTGAACCCTCAGGGATGGTCACAAAAGACACACTTAGCACCCCCTTCCCTGGCGGACAGACACTCCCCAGAGCTGCCACAGCCTCCCTTGTCTATGGTGACACCAGGCCCTGAGCCAACCCCACCAAATGGGTGTGTGCCGACCAGCCTGGCGGGCAGGCCACCCTGGGGGCAGGGACGGGGCTCCTCTGCTCGCACAGGTGAGCTGGAGGCGAGGGGCAGGGGGAGCCCCGCTGGCAGCTGAGAGCAGAGCTGCGGCTGAGGATTGTGCTAAAAATAGCGTGGCTGAGCTGTGGCAGAGCGTTTGACCCAATTAGAGATTACCGGCTTCAGGAATTACTGGATAGAATCTCATTAAACTGGTTAAATATAGGCGCTGGGCGGACAGCCGCAGGCTGAGGAGCCAGTCCTGACCACAGGCTGCACACCTGCCGGGAGGGTGCGGGGCCCAGCCTAGGACGCGGGCAGGTGCGGGGAGGCAGGTGCGGGTTGGGTAGGTGCAGGTGGGAAGGTGTGGGGCGGGCAGGTGAGGGGACCAGGGCGGGGGGGCAGGTGCGGGCAGAAAGGTGTGGGGTTGGGCAGGTGCGGGGGAGGGGCAAGTGCAGAGAGGCAGGTGCAGGGGGCAGGTGTGGGGGGGCAGGTGTGGGGTGGGCAGGTGGTAGCGGGCAGGTGCGGGCTGGGTCCCGTGAGGCCGCCCCTCCAGCGCAGAGCCACACGGTTCTGACACAGCAGGGGGGGTGGCCTGTGGGGTGCAGAATGTGAGGCAGGGACCGCCCATCCCACTCCCTGGGCCGGCAGGCACCCCCTCCCCGCAGGAGCCTGGCCTGCAGCCCCCTCCGCCTCCCTCTGCCCCACGTGCCATCTGTCCCCAGAGCAGGGGATCCGCCTGAAATAGCTCCTCGTGGCGTGCGCTCTGCCCACGGCGGCGGCTCCTGCCAGGCCTCCGCCCGCCCACCCGGCACAGGCGCCCAACCTGGAGGGGGTCCCAGCATCCCCCCTCTGAAAGCAGCCTCTCCTCCTGCCTCCGAGCTCCCCCCTTCCCAGCCACTGCCCCAGGGGGTCCCCAGGAGGAGCCCTGTCTGCCTTCAGCCGGCCTGACCGCCTGCGAGCAGCCTGCGTGCCGGTGTGCCAGGCCGGTGGCCACGCTGCCTCAACACCCGCCCTGCCCCGAGCAGCTCAGCCTCCACCCGTTTTTAATATATTTTATTTATTTTTTACAGAGAGGAAGAGAGAGGGACAGAGAGTTAGAAAACATCCATCAGCTGCCTCCTGCACCCCCCCGACTGGGGATGTGCCCCCAACCAAGCACACGCCCCTGACCAGAATGGAACCCAGGACCCTTTCAGTCTGCAGCCGACGCTATATCTACTGAGGCACGGTTTCAGCCTCCACCCGTTTAAAACACGGCCTCAGGGTGAGGTTTTATCAGAAAGCATTCTG